TTTTGTAACAAAGTGAAGACATTATAAATTTTAGCAACACAGCGACAAAATTTGAAATATGAAAATAGTATTCCGTCAGAATTTTGCATTTGACCAACTCGCTACTAACTGTTTCAGGTAGACGAGCTAAGGTGCAATAACAATTATTACATTTTTGAAAGAAAAAGTTGTAACATTGGGAAAAACATCGCGTAGTCACCAATGCGATCGGCAAAGTTTAGGCTTACGATAAACAATGAAAAAGAAGTACCTTTAGATAATAAATACCTTTTATTTAGCTATAAAAGTGTGTAGCTGTTAATATAATCACTATTATGAACTTCATCCAGACCCATCATTGTTTGCTCGTTTAGAATACAGTCTTCATACCTAAGATTTTAATTGCTAAACGTGGAAGAACTTTTTAAACTTCAATGAGCCAAACTCGATGATCTCGGTTTAGACAAAACTCTTTTTAGAATGCAGGATTTGCTCACCGTTAAAAAGCATCACAATTTTAGCGACATTTAGAATATTACAGATTTTATTTAAAAGAATTAAATTATTTTTTTGTTCAAGTAGTTTCAAACTTTAAAAGTACTTTAACATAATTTCATTGTTTATGCGTAGATAAGGGTAACTGAAATGAGCAAAGTATAAAATATTTTGATTTTTTCTTTTTTTCTTAATTTGGGAAGCGACGTAACAAAACGAAACTCTATTCAAGTGTGGTAGCAAATGTCAGAAAGTTAAGGTAATTTAAAAGCGTAACTTTTAACCAAAACAATCACATTTTGTCACTGCGCATATATTTTGATTATTTATAATCAAAAACACAAAAAAAGTGTAAAAGTGCAAAAAAAATGTTTCTAAAATGTTTGGCTTTTGTCGAAAGTGTAGCGATTCAACATTCCAATAAAAATACTGTTAGTCCATTTCTTTTTATTTTCTTATTTACTTTTTTACGGTTCTTTATTATCTTTTTTAATTTACTTTGTCCAATATCAGCTATTCAAAAGTCGTACTTGAAACGTAGCTAAAAACGATAGCAGTAATAAACTTTCCTTGTTGACAACGAGCAATAACATTTAACATAAAGATTTCAACTGTAGTTTATCGGTAATCTGAACTTGGTTGTAAAGCAAAAAATTTGACGCATGAATCAGTTAATGTCGGATAACAACTGGTCCATAGAACAGTAATTGATATCAAATCAGTGTACTTTTGATCAAATATAAAAAAGAAAATGCAACACCTATATAAGCGATTAAAATGTTTCCAACTGTTTTCATTTGGCAATTATGCTTTATCATCGTTCTTTTTTTTTTTCCGGATTGATTCTTCTCTTCCCCTCTCCCCTTCCCAACTTTCTCCAATGTAATTAACAGATTTCTTTTTCTTTAGGTTCAATATATACCATTAACACCGTCTTTACTATTTAAACACTCTTTTACAGCATTAAACCCCACTATCCCAGTGTTCAAACTGCGGTGAAGTGTTCAAAATGTAAAGACAATATTAATGACATATACAATAACAATTTTTGTATATGTCATCAATATTAATAAAAAGTGATAATAAAAAGTTTTATTCAACAAAATTTGGTGCTAAACTTTGTGTATTACAAGTGATATTAAAGAATAATGGTTGATTCAACTATTACTTAAAAAACCTTCTAGTTTTAAGAAGTTGCAGTACTTACCAAATACAATCATAAACTCAGCGTCACTTTCAACAGTGCATCAGTGTTTTCAGTGTATTCTGATAGCTGTTAGTTGACGTCAGAATTTTTAGAATGATTAAGACTTTTTTCTTTTTTCTTGGGGCGGGAAGAAATCATTGAAACATCATTTTTATTACTTGCTACTTTGACATTACTATTTTTACTGTTGGTTCTCCATCAAAATGAAACAGCAACACTTTAGGGTTGCTGTCTAATATGAAACAACAAATACTGACCAACTTCGAAGAAAGTAAGAGGTTGAAAAGTAACAATAACCAGAGAGGTAAAATCTAAAATGAAATCTGATCTGCATCGTCCATTCTTTCGGTATCAATTTTTGGCTAATGGTACTGTCCTGCTATAACAAAAAAAAAAACTTCTTTCCAAAAAAATTTTTTATTGTAACTGAGAAAGAAGAAAAGCAGAACGGTATTTGCATAAATAAACGATTGACTTTAGTTTCTGAAGCTTTTAATTGCCACTCCACAGTACTCACTGTTTCTGATACGGAAACCTGTTTCTGATACAAATTATTTCCTTCATGTTCTCATAGCTTTCTTCTTTCAGGTTTCAAATTCTTCTTTTTTTTCCCACTCAATTTCTGCTCTGTCTTCTTTATTATTATTTTTTTTTTTCATCGTTTGTATTAACTGTTGATGATACTTTTACAACATTATTTTTTGATCTAAGAGCTGCATATTTTAACAGAG